ACTTGCATATATTTGTCTTTGATTAGATGTGATCTTCTTATCAAACCAGATTAACACACCTCGCTCTGATCCATCATTTCAATCTACCAAGTTTTAACCTGAAAAGCTTGGCATGACCTTGTTGCTATCTATCTATGTATCAGATGCAGAAACATGTCCTCGAAATGATGAAGATCCATCAGGTTTTGATTCCCATGGAGGTATTACGACGATTAGAGTCATTCATGAACTCGAAACCGGTCTTCAGCATTCCCACAAATCACAGATGCATAGATGAATCTAAGGCTCACGTTGATTGATCTAAACAACAGATTTTACTGGAACAATGCAAACCATATTGCAAGTTTCAGAGCTCACAATAAAAGAGAGAAATGCAAAGACGAATCTACGGCTCATGCTAAAGCTACATACTCATTTGACTTGAGATTCCCAGATTGATCTAACCAACAATTTTTATTCGAACTATGCAAACTATATTTGTAAGTTCCAGAGCTCACAATAAAACAGAGAAATGATCATTCTTTAACATCTATTATCACTATACTACAAATTACTCTGTTTATTATACAATGTCAAAAAATAATCAGATTGAAAAGGAAGAAAATTAGCTTTCACATTCACATTATAGATTCTTGCAAACCTTGAAAAGAACACAATTTACAATGAACCAATGCCTCACAAAGTTGATTCCTTCGAAACCCGGTCTTCGACGCTACGTCATTTTTCACTGTAATTTCATAGCAAAGATTGAAGCTAATAAGCAAAAACTAAAATAACTTGATCATAAAATACACAATCAGTGGAGTATAACCTTACTTTGCTACCTAGGTCAGGTATAACCTTTACAGATATGAAGAACGTGATATCAAGAATGTGTGTATACAAACTTGTAACACATCTATAAATAATTATTGATTTTTACCTTGGATTCATTTCTTTGTTTCATGCAAATGCATTTAGATGCTCTGATGATGTCACTTTTTAGCAAGCTTCAGGTACTATAACCCATCTCGTTCATTCCATTCATGTAATCGGATCCCTCTTTTTGAGAATTTGGAGGGCTTCCGAGTGTTGTGGCTAAAGAAGCTGCAGGACTGTTCTCGATATTGTGATTTTGTGATCCATTCTCTTTCTTAGGGGTAGGGACTATCTCTCTCTGAAACAAATTTATACTAAACACAACACAACAAATGTCATGATGCAAATTTATAAGAACCGGCGGAATTTGACAAGTATCAAATTAATTTTATAGGACCAAGAGAAGAAACTGCGTACCTAAGTAAGGAGTGTTGAAGAGGAGAGCTTCTCTCACCCTTACCGTTATGTTCTTCAAGATGCGCAAATTGTCTTTTAAAACCGATCAACACCACTACATTTTATTTGGATTACAAAATCTTTATCTGACTTCTCATAACACCACATCGAAATCACCACTGAATTCAGATTGTAAATGTTATTATATACCTTGGGCACATGAAGTGAGACTGTTCTACACCTCGAAAATATTATTGGATGATACTCTATTAATATATGCATTGTTTGACATTCAAGTTTTGTAAGAATTACGATTAACCGATGGATACATTTTGCAATTGTTGAGAGTTTAACCAATCCAATCAAAGCAAAAACAGTATGAGAATAGAATACCTCTCTATAGATCAATTCTCTCACGTTTTCAATTATCTTCCTTTTTCAAACTCAAATTCAAGTTTTGGTAGCTTCAATGCACGAAGCTCCATTGTTGTCTCCTCAGGATATCTAAGTTTTGATCACCAAATACCATCTTGTTTCTATACCACATACGAACCACAATCCCTTACTTGATACTCTCTTGCACATGTGGGTTAGATTTTGCACCTCATAACAAGTTATGAGTACGATAATTTGTATGCTCATTAATATACCTCCTTAAGTGAAGAAGCTAAAGAGATGTCGTAGACGCATCGCCTGAGAATGATCATCTCCTCTCGGATTTTAAGCTGTGAAAGACATAAACATCAGTTAACTAGAATCAAAGGCACTCTAACTCACCATGAAAAACCAATATATGAGACTCGTATAACCAACATACCGAGAAAGGTTGCAGGGACCCAATATTCTCTATCACCATCCTTCTCTTTGGTCAAATCCAAAGTACGATCCCCACAAAGACTCTCTTGTGAGATTGAAATCACGTAGCTGGATGAGGAGAATAGTTCATGGGGCCTGTCTACTGAGAATCGATTTTGATGGAGGTAAACGAAAAACACTGGAAAGAGTAAGAGTTTCATGATTGAATTGATTTTTTTTTAACCGAAGCTAAATCACAAAAAGATTAAACGTTTTGTAAATGTTAGTAATTAAGTTTGATAAATATCATTTGGGGTTCAAATTGTTGTTTGGGCCTCAAATTGTTGTTTGATTCAATTGCATTGACTAATTTTGTAAAACGTGGAGAGAAAATGATGAGAGTGCATGACTACATGTCTGAAAGAGATTTTTTCATTGGTCGATTATTTTGATGAATATTTTTGCTGATGTGGCATCTCTTAGAAGCCACAAAATCTTCCCCTTTTATATAAAGGAGATCCCTCTATATAATGAGGTTCTTATTGATGAATAAAAATCGGAAAACGAGTTTGAAAATTTAGAGAGTCTTTGTGACCTCTTTTGATCTGTTTAGATCTTTTACTTTATCCTCTGGTTTTGGGAGAGCCATTAGTGGTGGATTCGAGCGTCTTTATCTTCTGGTGGTGGCAACTTTATCCAGGAGTGGTGCTAGCTCAGCAAATTTCTTTATCAGCTCCGGTGCTTCGGCTTTACGAGTTGTGGTGATCCCGTATCTTCCTGTTATCCGGTTGCTTTAGTTCTGTTCGAATTTGTCTTTGTTACGGTCTCTAATTCATTCACTATGTTCGCTTCCTGCTACACACATCATTATGATACCTCGAAGCTTCAAAGGCGCTTGCTTTGTTCAGAGTTGATATGTCCTCTTCGCAACCGGTTCGCATTGTGTGTTTCTTTATTCTCTTCAGCATTGCATTAGCGGTCTGGAGTCCTCTCTGCCTGGGTTGGTTGCTAATTGGTCCTTGTTTAAGCTTTGATCGAGACATCTGGTTGGAGTTTAGACAACCAATGAGCCATATATCTCCGGTTTTAAAATTAGTTAATGTAATCGGAATTCTTTGGTAAGGTAATGATCGGATCGGGTCTTGAATGCTTTTGTCTCACCCTATTCACAGTTTGAATGGGGCACAAGCACTAGACGGGATGAAATCCGGTTTCATTCTTTCAAGACGAATTATGTTTTGGGTTTGTCTACATTACCTCTCCTTGGATCAGTTTGTCTTTCGATTATCGTTTATTCATTAAAGTTGTTAGTTACTTAATTCAAGTTTAATTCTCTGGTTTTTTATTTTAATGTTTCTTTTGTTTGGAATTTGGATCCGTTTAGGTGGGATTAAGTGGTTGAAAGGCTCTCCTGTGGTGGGATTAAGTGGTGGTATTTTGGCTCCTCTATGGTGAGATTAAGTTTTAGGATTATGGTATGAAATTATGGTTTTCCTGTGGTGGAATTAAGTTGTGAGGTAGTAGTTCCCCTATGATGAATTGTGGTTTTTTCTATCAATTTCAACCCTATAATTTTAATATTAAGTTAATTTGCAAGATAGCAAAAAAAGATTAATAACTAAAAATTTAGTTAAAATTGCTTTATGTGGCAAGTCATAGTCACTAAAATTAAGATAATTGATTAGTTTTTGAATTATAGAATTTTTGTTGATTATCCTTGTTAATTTCTCTTTAATATTAGAAGAGATGAAAAAAAAAAAAAACCGAACCATAAACATTTAATAATCGGTTTATTTGTTTTTTTTTGTTTGGCATATTAAACTGTGTAAATTGTAAATTGTAAATTGGATTCACTCTTACTGCCTTAATGGAACGAGCACACACACGTGCGGAAGGAGACAAAGACAAGTGAAGTTTATGGGACCCGCATGAATAGGACACCTACGTGAGTCCAAGCCACGAGGCATCGTGGTCTGCAAACGGCTCATTTTCTTACATGTAGGATCCACACATTTGCCCACTACCTCGAGTCCTTCAAAATTTATCAAATTTAGTGGCTAACATTTTGCTAAATTTCGTAGCTCATCAGAAACTTTTACAAATTTACATATATAAAGTTGTTTTTTCAACATTCACAAGAAATTTAAATACATGTTATCGTATAATTTCAGTAGCATTTTATCCAATTATCTTAATGACCCGATTATTCAATTATAGAAGAGGAATAATGTTGAGCCAAAAATTGATTTTTTTCACCGATTTTGTAGGTTTCACTGATTTTTTTTTAAATAAACTATATTCGCAAATGGTGGAATTTTGGCTGAATTGAGTTGAATAGCCATCGAAATTTGTTCTTCCAAAAAGACATTCATTTGCACCCCAAGTTTTCTCTGTAATC